AGACCTTTAAAGAAGAATTAATACTAAGTTTCTTCAAACTATTCCAAAAAATTAAAACAGAGACATGTGGGAGCTCAGGGTGGCGGGCCCTGAACCTCCCAGTAGCCCCTTTTATCCCCCCACCACAGGATGAGCAAGAGAGGGAACTGATAGGATTACTCCTGCCATCCTAGTGGCCAGGAGAGCCTGGGAGAAAGGTGAGTATGCTGCCCACCTATTCAACCCCACAGAGAGACACTCAGATGCGGCAGGGGTTCTGTCAAGCAGTTCCGTTTATTTTCACACAAGCAGCTGCTTTTATAAGCATATGGCAAGGGGATTTCCTAACTTCAACCTATCATCTTAAAGGTCACGTGAACATGCATCTTGCTCTAATGCTTTGCTATTACAATCACATGGTAAGCACGAGTGCGGAAATATCTTTTATCCAATAATTTTAAACTATGTCTTTCCTTGGCCACTCCCTGGTAGCTTCCATGAGGCACCATCTCTATCTCTCCTGTCCAGGCGAATGTTTTCAACAGATTACATATGTGTATGTGGGTGGGGTCATGGCTAGTTCTCTGCCCCAGGAGGAGGTGTGTGGCCTCAACACCCCAACAGAGACCATTCTCCCAAACTCATTCTGTGAGGTCAGCATCACCCTTATACCAAAACCAAACAAAGATACAACAAAAAAAACTACAGGCCAATATTTATGATGAACATAAATGTAAAAATCCTCAACAGAATATTAGCAAACAGAATTCAGCAATACATAAAAAAAATTATACACCATGATCAAGTGAGATTCATCCCAGGGACACAAGGATGGTTTAACATACACAAGTCAATAAATGTGACACACCACATCAACAAAGTTAAGGATAAAAACCATATAATTATCTCAATAGAACCAGAGAAACCATCTGACAAAATTCAGTATCCCTTCATGATAAAGACTCTCAGCAAATTAGGTATAGAAGGAAAGTATCTCAACACAGTAAAAACCATATATGACAAACCCCCTGCCAATATTGTCCTGAATGGGAAAAAGACCAGGAACAAGATAAGGACACCCATTGTTACCACTTCTATTTAACATAGTATTGGAAGTACTATCCAGAGCAATCAGGTATGAAAGAAATAAAGGGTGTCCAGGTTGGAAAAGACAAAGTCAAACTGTTCCCACTTGCAGATGACATGATCCTATATATAGAAAAAACTAAAGACTCTACCAAAAAACTCTTAGAGCTGATAAACGATTTCAGTAAAGTTGCAGGATACAAAATCAACATGCAAAAATCAGTAGCTTTTTTAATACTCCAACAATGAACTAGCAGAAAAAGAAATCAAGAAAGCAAGCCCATTTACAATAGCCACCAAAAAAATAAAATACTTAGGAATCAATTTAACCAAGGAGGTGAACAATCACTACAATGAGAACTACAAATCACTGCTGAAAGAAATTAAAGAGGATGCAAAAAGATGGAAAGACATTCCATGCTCTTGGATTGAAATAATCAACATTGTGAAAATGTCCATCCTACCCAAAGTGATCTACAGATTCAGTGCAATCCCTATCAAAACACCAGTGACATTCTTCAGAGAAACAGAAAAAAAATCCTAACATTCATATGGAACAACAAAAGACCCTGAATAGCCAAACCAATCCTGAGCAAAAAAAAGTAAAGTCAGAGGCAAATAACACTACCTGACTTCAAATTATACCAAAAAGCTATAGTAACCAAAAGAGCATGGTACTGGCTAAAAACAGACACTTGGACCAATGGAACAGAACAGAGAACCCAGAAATCAACCCACATATTTACAGCTAACTGATCTTTGACATGAACAACAGGAGCATACACTAGAGAAAGGACGGCCTCTTCAATAAGTGATGCTGGGGAAACTGGACATCCATATGTAGAAGAATGAACCTAGACCGTTACCTCTCACAATATATCAAAATCAACTCAAAATGGTTTAAAGACTTATATATAAGGCTGAAACTATAAAACTACTAAAAGAAAACATAGGGTAAACACTTCAGGAAGTAGGACTGGGCAAAGACTTTATGAACAAAACCCCAAAAGCACAGGCAACAAAAGGAAAAATAAATGGGATTATATCAAACTAAAAAGTTTCTGCACAGCAAAAGAAGCAATTAACAACAAAAAGCCTACAGAATGGGAGAAAATGTTCGCAAACTACACATCGAACAAGGGGTAATATCCAGAATATACAAGAAACTCAAACAACCTAATAGTAAAAAAACAAGTAACCTAATTTAAAAACGGGCAAAGGAGCTGAATAGGTATTTCTCAAAGGAAGATATACAGATAGCCAACAGATACATGAAAAAATGCTCAACATCACTAAGCATCAGGGAAATGCAAATCAAAACCATATTGAGATATCATCTTACACCAGTTAGACTGGCCAGTATCAAAAAGACAGAGAATAACAAATGCTGGTGAGGAGGTGGAGAAAGGGGAACCCTCCTACACTGTTGGTGGGACTGTAAATTATTGCAGCCATTATGGAAAACAGTATGGAGTTTCTTCAAACAACTACAGACAGAACTGCCATATGATTCAGCAATCCTACTGCTGCTTGTATACCCAAAGGAATGGAAATTATGTGAAAGGAATACCTCTGCACTCCCATGTTTATTGCAGCTCTATTTACAGTAGCTGAGAGTTGGAACCAACTTAAATGCCCACCAATGGATGACTAGATAGGAAAATGTAGTAAATACACAAAATGGAATACTACTCTGCCATTTACAGCAACGATGAACTTAGAGAAAATTATGGAAGTGAAGTAAGCCAGACACAGAAAGAGAAATACCGCATGCCCTCACTCATAAGGGGGAGCTAAAAAGAAAAAAAGAAAGATACAACAATCACAATAATTCCTTGAACTCTCAAAAGGAGAGAACAGAACTGAGAACACCAGAGGTGGGAAAGGGGGCGGGGAGGTAGGGAGAAATTGGTAAAGGGCCCCCAGAAATGTTTATATTGTGTAATGACAAATAAAATTTTTTTAAA